TAGGTAGCAAATTGGTATCCATTAAAATGAGGCAAACAGCTTACTGCTTCTCTTCCCATCACTATAGTAATTGCTAATGTCCCCCAAGTCTGTGCAAGGTTCTGTTTGAAGAATGCAAAATCTTAGGCAGTTGCTGAGTTTCTATGGCTTCATTCTGTAGCCCAAATACAGGAGATAGTGACCAGTGTTCTGTTGGTAGAAGCCAACCATTGAACCAAAGACCAGGTGATTGAAGTGAGAAGTTGGATGAAGGGGACATGTTCAATGCTTTCAAATTTTATGCCAATTTTAATTATGTAACTTTAAAATTGTGAAACATAAAATATACTGGTGAAGTCCTACCATATGCATAATTTCAATGCATGTGAATTCTCCACACAAACTTCCAAATCATCAAGAATCACATAATCCCAGAGGTGGCAAGGCCAGTGAATTAACTATGTTGTTATTGCGGCACAATTTCAGGGGCTTGACAGAAATGCCCACCCACCATTGACGGACTCAGTCTTGAATGCATTAAGATCTTCAGGAAGCCATCTCTCACAGAAAGTTTGATCCCTCCTTTCTAAATGGCTTCTACTGTAATAATCACATGATCTCTAGCCTACATCATTATGACCTACCTAAGATCAACCTTCTATGCTCCATCTTCATTTCCCAACAGAAAATAAATTATTCCTTAGGCCCGTAGGCATTTTAGATCATATATGGTGATGTTGACATAAAACCAAAGTGTTCATTTACTTTGATCAAAATGCTCACGTTATCCAGGCGTTTCACTACAACAGACTGAATGGTTTCACAAGTGCCCGAACTGATCATAGATTATGATCTCAAGTCAGCAGAAAGAAAGAAGGTGGGGGGCGGGGGCGCTTTTGGAATTTTAAGGCTTTCTCCTGTTCCTGCCGCCTCCCTTCCTCACAACACCCAACCCAGTTTTTGCTTAAGCCAATTTTGGCACTGAGCCTCATTGGGAGCCCAAGCTAAAGGACATAGCAGTCAGAACAAAATGTAACAAAAGTCCAAGGGGTTGTCTTCTGCAAAGAACAATGAATTGGGGGTGCAGTTTGTAATTTGAAAGCCCTAGCTCAGCTTGGAATGTTGTAGAATGTGGCTGTTAAATCCATTACCCAAGCCCACAGTTTTGGAGGCCATGCCTCTAGCTCCAGCATTGCAAAAGCTCAAGCGTGTGGCAAGCATCTTGCCTCTTCCTGCTTAAGCAACTCCACATTACTCTAAAATTAAATTCTAATGGAAATCTCTGAGAACTACTGAAAGCCTTTGGTTATGGTAGAAAATGAAAAATTATTGTGATCAACTAAGGAATTAACCTATTTTTCCCCAAAAGCACAGGAAATGTATTCACACACACACACACAAAAGTCCCTGAGGCTTTAGATAAAATGAAAAAAGTTTCTTTAATAATAGAGGTTATATTTTTTAAAACTATACATCTGAACAACTATTTTTGTGTGTGTGTGTGAATGGCTAGTAGGTTTAGCTGAGTATGGTATAAACTTGTGATTATCTTCAAAGGAATTTATATTAATTTTGTTATGGGCATAAAGAAAATAGTAGTGAGCCATGTGAATCGAGCTGAGTATGTAGTGGATTCCAGAAAGAAAAATGTTTTCTTTACGTCATTAATAGAAAATGTCCTGTTCTTGATAATTTAAGAAGCTTTTTCTTTACTAATGAGGTCATATACCACAGAGTCTAACTTTTATATTTGTGACTTTCTCTAGGGTATCTTTAATATCCTGTGTCCAAAATGTAACTTAGGAACCAAAGTGTGAACAGAAGAAATAAAGAAAAACGAGAGAGAATGAAGGGAAGGGTGATACCCTACAGACAGTGTTTTCTGTGGAAGTTTAGCCAGTCAGTCTAACTGGACAGCAATAGTATGATATAGTTCCCATTGGGCACAGAGTTTCGTTTGAAAACCCATTCTAGAACTTCTCTCACAGGTGTCAGTGAGCTTCATAAAATAAGGCAAGCTGATGCTCTTTTGCAGCTGTAACAATGTGCTTAATTTAGGGTGGAGTTCTGTAAGCGTCCATTCATAGGTTTTTCATGAATCTCTCTCAAAGATCCATAAACCCTTGAAATTGTATAGACACATTTTTTGACTATCCATATGTGTATTTTTCTGGAGAAGGGGTCACTAGCTTTCATCAGATTCACAAAAGTATTCAGAGACCCTTGTCTCCAAAAAAAAATAGGCTAAGAACCACTGCTTTTGTTCATCACTGATTATTTGATATCATTTTCCTTTCTCAGAAACAAAGGTGGGGGGTGTGTGTGTGTGTCTTGACAGGAAGACTTAATGTTACCATATTCTGGCAGGTTTAGTTTACATAAAGCATGATATTTTTAGATATAGCCTCATTCTCTACCTCCCATAACTAAGAAATTCAAAAGTACATTATTTCAGACTATAAGAGCTTTTGTTGTCTATGGAACGAATTTCCATGTATTATCAGTGTAGGAAATGGAAGAGAATTTGGAGACCAGATATATTCAGTACTTTTGAAAAGGGAGATTCTATCTTGATACTTCATCCAATTTTTAGCACTGGGTCATATTATTATAATAATAATATGAGTTAATATAATTGTTCTCATCCTTGTAATTGATAATGGCTTCATTCTAAATATAGGAAATTTGATCATCTAAAATGTTTCTCTGTTTCTAGGGGTTACAACAATTTGGTACATTGATAAATACATTGATATGAAATCATTTGACAGTTTATTGCTCTCAAGTCCTGCTCTGAAAATTGATCCTTTGCACCTATGTATCCTTGCAAAGGGAAGAGATGTTTCCAGCCATCTTGCCTATTGTCTGGTAGATTGTAGATGATTGGAAATTCTAGAAGGCCCATTCTAAGACTTCTTTCTCCATGAGAACATTGAGTGGATCACTATTGGTCTGTGATTTGGAGTAAAGATTCCACTGACAGAATCAGTGCCCAAGATCAGAATTTGGCAAATGCCTCTCTTGGAAGATCCTAGAATGAGTCTAAATAAATCATTTGGTATAAAGCAGCAAACACAGCGTACTGTTCCTTGATAGGAAGCAATACAATAGCATGTGCTAGCTCAAGGAAAAGTGAAAAATTAAATAGCATAGTTCTTTGGGAAATACCTCATAAAATAATTTTAAACATTGGAAAAGAGACCCTTTTCCAAGGCATGTTAAAATACAAATCCACGTAGGGTGGGTATTTCCTATGTCAGCAAGTTCTCTTCCAAAAGCAGTGTGCTGTATTAACATTTCAAGTTAGCCCTTAATTTTCAAAGAGCCTTTCAACAGAATTTACTTGATCTCATGATCAGCAGTGGGGAAGATGTCTCCTTCATAGACATGTAAAGAGAGTTTTAAAGGGACATTTTGTCTGAATCATTAAGGGCCTTTGAGCCAAAGGGGAGCAGCACTGATCTTTCTCTTCCCTCTTCTTGGATTTGAAGGAGGGATTCTCAAACCTTTTCCATCCACAGAAACATCGAATGGCACCACGGGTCATCCCTCTCTTCTAATTCCCTCTGGAGCACAAAAAGAAATCTGGGGACCCACAATTGTCATTTTCTTACATTTTTAAAAGATTTAAAAACAGCACCCATTTTTGTGTAACTGACACTTTGGGCCATTCCTTTAAGACGAAAATCAAATCATCAAAAACACTGACTTAGAAAAGAGAAGCCCCCAGGAGACTGATAATACTGTAGAAGTATAACAGGGCCCCCAAGTCAAATACAATCTCTCACTAATGGAGCAAGAAACCAAACCTCATACTATTATTTCTCACAGGGCAGCGGTTTCTGGATAAAAGAAAAAAAACCACAGCAGGAAGGGGAAAGGGAAAAACTGAGATGACTAAAGGCTTTTTTTTTTTTTAGTTCGTATTTACAGAAGTGGTACAGAATCTTGATTATTTCTTTTTTAAGATAACTGCTCTGTACAGAACCATCTCATTTTTATGGTACTGCTCAATTTCTTAACTCTTCTGGGAAGGTGAAGAGTGAGAAAATGCAGCGTGATACCAAAATGAGCACAAGATGTTATCCAATGAACCATGATGACACTTGAGAGGTCACTTGAAAATGAACTTCATTTCTTTGTCATCGCGTCTCTCATGGACATTCGTTTTTAATAGTCATCTTTAATATGTTAGGTTGAACCCCACATGAGTACTGATGTTAGGGCAATTTTTACGTCTTCTAGCTTACCATTAATAACTTAAATACTTTAGAAAAGGTCTGTGACACCCCAGAATTCAACAACTGAATTCAACCACTGTTTCCGGACCACCCGCCATGTGGTCAAGGACACAGTATCAGCAGGCGGCAGATGGCAGATGCCATGTCTCTTGGGTTCTTTATCATGACTGTTACGCTGTTAAGAACCCTTAGTCAAGCGGATCATTTATGGTCAGATATAGATAGACCCCTAATGTAGCCAGTAGTTGACTCAACAAGTGCATATATGCCCCCAGCTGATTTTGACCGTCTTTAATAAAGTGAACCGTTCAGATGTTTTCTTAGCACTGTGATGACATCAGGGATCTGGCCTGCTTTAAATTCCCATTTTTCACGTAAGAAACTGAACCACTGGGTACATAGGAGACTTGCTTAAGGTCACATTTAGCTTCCAGTCTTTCGGTTGCTGGCTCAAGGCTTGATCTACTAACCTTCCTTCCTCTCCTTCCTCACCCTATGCACCCCACCTCCGGTAAAGTACGGCAGTGGGTCCCTTCACCGGCCCCAGCACCCCGGGAACTCTGAGGAGAGGGCAAAATCAGATAGACTTTGGTGGGAAGATTCTGTGAAAGGAGTTTCTGTACAATTTTTGCTCCATATTTTATCCCTTCATATGTTGTGATCTCCCCCATGCTCAGTAATTTTAGTTTGTGCTTTTTGTTTCTCTTTTTGTTTCTTTGGTTTGCTGGCTTTGTGTTCTTTTCTCTTTTTTTTCCCTTTTTTTTTCCTTTTTTAATGCAGGAATCGGTCAAGGAGTTCCGGTGGTGGCACTCATTGTGGAAGGAGGACCCAATGTGATCTCGATTGTCTTGGAGTACCTTCGAGACACCCCTCCCGTGCCTGTTGTTGTCTGTGATGGGAGTGGACGGGCATCTGACATCCTGGCATTTGGGCATAAATATTCAGAAGAAGGCGGGTAGGTAATTTGCCAGGCCCTATAAGAGACCTTTGAGTACAAAGCTGTGTTCCAAGCTCAGGAAGATGGTATCAGTTGATGGAGACGTTTGGTCTGGGAAGGTGGTGGGGAAGAGCAGGGGAATATATTCTAGATGTCCTATGAAGTGAGAAATTCTATGAAAGCCCCACTACACTAGACTAATAAGGAAGACAAAAGGGAAGGAGGGGTCATAGCACTTGGTACCCTTTCTCTTCATTTCTTCTCTCTTCTGCTCCTCCCGCTGAGGAGAAGCAGGGACTGGGTTTGAACACATAAAGCACAGCGAATCCGGACCCTATGGTTCATGTGAGTACTTTGGGAGAAGCTGGGATGTGCAGCTTCCAGGCTCAGTTTCCAAACACCAGCTTCACCAAACTGCTGTAGGTTTACAAAGGCCAAATTTTTACCCAAACTTTGGGTGGCCTGTGCTGTCAAATCCTTCTAGATCAGCTCAGAAAGCAGAGCCTCTAACCACTCTGGACACCCTTACTGGCGTCCACCCCCACCCCCATGCATTTTCCTTGGTCTGTCTATCCCCTGCTGCTGTTTTCAACAGTCCAAAGCCCCAACCCCAAGGAGGACTTCTCTTCCCAACCTTCCCTGCCAATCTGAGGTCCCACCCAGTGAATGCTAAAATCCAAGCACTCCTGCATATTATTAGATCAAAGTAATTCATCCCAAGGTGTGAATGAGTTTAAGAAGGCAAACTCAGGAGGAGTCATTGAATTTTTATTTTTTTAACTTTTTAAAAAGTTTTTATTTATTTAAGTAATCTCTACACCCAACATGGGACTCGAACTCATGACCCCAAAATTAAGAGTCGCCCGCTCTTCTGACTGAGCCAGCCAGGCACCCCTGGTCATTAACTTTTTTTTTTTTAATTTTTTTTTTTAAGATTTTATTTATTTGCGAGAGAGAGAATGAGAGACAGAGAGCATGAGAGGGGGGAGGGTCAGAGGGAGAAGCAGACTCCGTGCTGAGCAGGGAGCCCGATGTGGGACTCGATCCTGTGACTCCAGGATCACGACCTGAGCCGAAGGCAGTTGCTTAACCAACTGAGCCACCCAGGCGCCCTGGTCATTAACTTTTTAAATAAGGAACTTCCTCACCTAATCAATTCTCCTAACCCATGAACCTGGTGAGAGAAAGGAGCCCCAAAGGAGATGCGATCTTTTATTCATCCCGTTTTACAAACATACACAAAGTGCCTACTGGGGGCCACGCACCAAGATGGGAAAAAGCACACCAACTCTTCCTACCCTCAAATAGCTCCTAGGAAGTCTAGTAAGTAGACAAGCGTGTAATGATAATAGCGAGTGACCGGTGAGCTTGCGGACTACGGGACACTCCCTACCCCACCTGTCATGGCCAGGTAGCCATTAACACAGGCACCCTGCCCGGGGAAGTGTATGGACCTAAATATAGGAGAGTCACGGGCCCTCCAAGTAACACTGCAAACAGTAACAGTGATTTCAGGTCCCCTGATGAAAGCTTTTGATATGAAAACAAAAACAAAAACAAAAAACCGATATTCCTGAGCATGAAATTGGAGTTTGCTTCCTGGCAAATTTAAATGACTTTTATCTTCTCCTTTCGTTGTAAATATTGGTCCATTCTCTAGCTAAAAAACTGAAAAGAACATTTGCCCAAACGCCTCCATGTTGGTTACTAACCAGAGCTCAGGATCCTCAACTGTGCTTTGCTTTTATTAAAAATTAAGCCGGGCGCCTGGGTGGTTCAGTCGTTAAGCATCTGCCTTCGGCTCAGGTCATGATCCCAGGGTCCTGGGATCGAGCCCCGCATCGGGCTCCCTGCTCGGCGGGAAGCCTGCTTCTCCCTCTCCCACTCCCCCTGCTTGTGTTCCTGCTCTCGCTATCTCTCTCTCTGTCAAATAAATAAATAAAATCTTTAAAAAAAAAAATTAAGCCATAGTTCTCATCAATTTAAATATAGCAACGTATTCCTTTTTCAAACATAACGGAAGAACTTACACAGTTTTTTGCTTTGGCTTACTTTTTGGCTTCCCAGTGCTTGTAATTATTTTATTGTGTTTCCACAAAGTAGATACAAGTTTGCATTCAGAATGCACATTTCCTTTTCAGAAAATTCCTGGAAAAGTGAGCTGTTCATCTCAGTATTTCAGGTTTTCTAGGTCTGTACACAGTGAAGGTCTCCACCCAGGGCCTCCTTTTTGTCCTTATTGTGGGTTGTATACTTTGAAAATGTTACAGTTTTTGATTAGTTGCTCTTCCTGATTCTGTTTTTTATACATGGGAAATATTACACATTTTAGAGCTTGGGCGGAGGGGGCAGGGTCTCTATATTATTTAACCGAGGGGACAGAGATACACAGAGCAATTATGTGCTTGCCCATGATCCCAGGCCAGGATTTTTTCTGGTCTATTATAAAAATTTGCTGAAATGGATTTTGTGGTATGTGCCTTCATGCTTTTTATGTAGTACTTCAATGATACTGTTGTTTGAATATAAGTGCACTTAAGTTCTCTTTAGCTTCCCCTTTGCTTATAATTTCTTAATTTTTTGTATTATTTCATGCATTCCCAAAAAGATAAAATCAATGCATTCCTGGTTGTAAACCAATGTCCAGGCTGACGAACGTGGGTTCCTTTTCTTTTTCCCCTTTCTTTTTCTTAAGGTTTTTTAAAGTTTTTATTTAAATTCCAGTTAACACACAGTATAATATTAGTTTCAGGTGTCATGTAGATTTTTTTCCTTTCCCCAGTCCAGTCCCAAATTAAGAGTCAGAAATACCATGCCCTTTTAACTTTAATTAGCAATTTTCGCTTTAAAACCAAAGTTTTGTTTTAGTTCTATTTTATGACCAAAATTTGCAAAAGCACAATCTGTATGGAATCTGTGCAAATATATAAACCATGGTTGATTATCAAAGAATTAACTAGCATGAAGATAAAGAATTGAGATATAATTTCTCACCTTGGGAATCATTGAAATTAAAACTTTAAATATTTTAAGAAACATTTAGAAACCATGATTAAGAAAGTAGAAACTTCAAGAGAAGCTTTGTTATTGCCAATCCAAATATATAAATCTATATTTATTTATTTTATAGGCTGTTATGATAAAAGTAAACTCTTGCTCCAGGAAAGCAATTATAAATTTATCCTGATCCAGTGAATTCATGACATTTCTCTGTGTCATCTGAATTACTGCCAGAATTAATCATGTTTACTTAGCTTGACTAAGAAGTTGTCTAGCCACACATGTGCAGCCGATTTAAAAAAGCATTTCCAAAGAACATTATTTTGCAGGAGTGTGTTTTCTTTATGCTTAAAAAAAAAAAGATGAACCCATCCCAGACTTCATTCACCAAGAATTTCTTCTTTGATTCATGACAGAGTTGGGACATGTTTCACTACAAATAAATATAAATGTATAACTATATGTTCATATAAACAAACCTATATAAATAAAGGGGTATAATTGTACATATAAAATTGATTATAGAAAACACACACACCTTGTTTACAAAACCTGAATCAGAGTTTGGAATCATTGATTTTTACTTTTTGGTTATTTTGGTAATTTAAATATGCTTTAAAATGTTTTAAACTCATTTACAGGTGGTTAAATAAATAATACAGGTCCAAGGACTCGTAAATGTGTATATTTAGCTCTAAAGCTTTTCATTTTATAATCTTAAAGAAGTGAATGAAATTTACACACCTTCTATTTTAACTTTTGTGAACTTGATATTTTGCCTTTATATTCCCTGTTATTAACCATCTTCCAAGAATATGAATTTGAAAGGGCATCACTTTGGAAGCAAACTATAATTGGCAAAACTAATTAACTTTTGTAGATGAGATTACTTGAGGTAGGGGAAGACAGGCCGCATCTATCCCAACACAAATGGGTTTGGATAAACTAGGAGGCATTTGCAATTAAATTCTTACCTTTGCCTTCTCCTCTGTCTCTGCTCCATCGCACAAGCCCCCCAGAAGAAATGGCCAAACTCTCTCTTTCCCTTATTGTCGTACTAGAGTTTCTATTTCTCATCAGTCGAAGTTTAAAATGAGTCACAAGTCACTCTCCCTAACTAATTTCATTCCTTAAAAATCTTATCAAATTTTCTTTTCTGAATCATGCATGACTAAATACTGCAAACAGAAACAGATTAATGCCACCCAAGGGGCATTAGATTTGATTACCTACATTTTCAAATACCGACATTCTGCTTTTTGCTGCTGACCGAGCAAGCCGACCAACATCACCCATTGTCAGGGATACCTTTCAGGTGATAGGTGCCTGCAGTTGAAATCAGAGACTGCTTGAAAATTCATAATCTAAGTTTCAGATTGCAGAGAAACGTGGTCTAGCTCCTCATTTATCAGTCAGTGAGAAAGTGCTGCACGGATGAAAAAATGTCAGCGTGAAAAAGTATCTGAATGAATGTGCATTCTGAGATGATGCAGCTCATTCATCTGGATTTTATTGCCGAGCCTTATATTTATTTTGGTGTCTTTTTCCCCATAAGTTATTATATGGATTTACCACTTTTAGAGAGCCCAGGACGAGAAGCAGAACCTGTGGTAGCAGAAAGCCTTAAAGATCTTAAGTAGTCTGTTGATAACTTTTGGGAAATTATCAATGGGGCCAAATACCAGTAGACTCTTCGCATTCTTATGTGTCAGTGGAATTTGTATTAGATATTGTGGAGAAACACTGAGGAATGGCCTGATCTTGAGGACAGGAATAGATTTTAAAAAATCAAATAAATCAAATAAAGAAATCTCATTTTCCCTGTTTAAGGGGAGCTTAATAAAGGTCCCTACATTTTTCGATTAGCTGAGGTAAAGGCATAAATGGAAGACAAAGTGGAGATGAATAAGGAAAAATATGTTGCATGGCTTCACATTATATCACTGTATCCTAGCACAGATGTAACAAAAGCGTGTTGCTCTCCAAGTATACATCAGAATGACCAAAATCAGGAGGAAGTCG